CTCTGAGACTCCTTTGAGTAGTGAAGGGCGGGGTATAAATCCAATCTCTTCTTCTTCTTCTTTTACCTCACAGGGTGTTTGTTGTGGGGAGGGGAAAGGAAAGGAGTTTGTAAGCCACTCTGACACTCCTTTGGGTAGTGAAGGGAGGAGTATAAATCCAATCTCTTCTTCTCCTCCTCCTCCTCTTATGAGGGCTGCATTTGACATAAATGAGACCTTGTTGGGCCGGGCCATGTGTGTCAAAGAAGGTAATGCCAGGTAGCGGAGATATAAACTTTATAAAGGACACAAACACAATTAAAGATTTTTTAAAAAACTTAAAATAACACATTTTCCAGTGAGTTTGACACCCCTGCCCATAGACTCCGTCCTCCAAAGCAGCCATTTTCTCCAGGGGCTCTGACCTCTGTGGTCTGGGGGTCAGGTGTAATTCCAGGAGATCTCCAGGCCCTCCACAGAGGGCACAGAGTTGCCAACCTCCAGGTGGGGGGGCTGGAGATCTCCTGGGATCACAACTGGGTTTAGGACTGCTTGCTTGCTTGTTTGTTTATTTAAAACATTTATGCCACTTCTTCTGGAGAATATGGCTGCTTTGGAAGGGGACCGCATGGCATTATGCCCTACCAAAGTCCCTCTCCTCCCTAAACCCCACTCTGCCAGGTTCCACCCACAAATCCCCAGTTTGGTGTAGTGGTTAAGTGCGCGGACTCTAATCTGGGAGAACCAGGTTTGATTTCCCACTCCTCCACATGCAGCTGCTGGTGTGACCTTGGGCCAGTCACAAGTTCTCTCAGAGCTGTTCTCTCAAGGGCAGTCCTCGAAAGAGCTCTCTCAGCCCCACCGACCTCACAGGGTGTCTGCTGTGGGGAGGGGAAGGGAAAGGAGATTGTGAGCCGCTCTGAGACATCCAATCTCCTCCTCCTCCTCCTCCTCCTCCTCTTCTTCTTCTGGTATTTCCAGACCCAGGGTTGGCAACACTTAGAGGGTTCCGCACACTTAGATTGTTCCGCACCTTGCTTTAAAATCTAATTTTTCAATCACTGCTTCTTTGGAAGCTTTTAACATGGAGCAATTTCTATGAATTCTGAAGCTTGGATTCACGCAGGAATGGAACCTCTTTGCGGAAAGCTCTTTATCGCCCCCAGGTGGTCATTGACGGCGGAGACGCTAAAGCTCCCATTTCACATATTGCACCGAAAAAGCATAGAAAGGAAAAATCACTGACGTGCTGTCTACTTCAGGCGGGTAAGCTGTGTTGGTCTGAAGCAGCAGAAGAAGTTTGAGTCCAGTGGCACCTATAAGACCAACAAAGTTTTATTCAATGTATATTCTTTCGTGTGCACACACACTTCCTCAGATACATCGAAATGGAAGTTAACGGTTCCTACATATAGGCAGAGGGTGAGCAGCAACTTCGCATGCAACATAACTGAGATGTTTTAACAGGTTCAAACACCAAAACAGGAATAACAAGCTAAGTTTATAAGGTCACCAGTTGTTTGGATTTAATGATGGGGGAACACGGTGAAGCAAATAAATATGTCAAAATAGGAGACTGATGTGTAAATTGTGGAATGCTTCTTAATTGTGGACTGCTAAGAGTAATTAACTGAGACCCTGTTAAGAGTAATTAACTGAGACCCTGTTAAGAGTAATTAACTAAGACCCTGTTGTTACCATCCATTCGTCTCCTCTCAAGCATGGAGGTAACTAACAGCCTCCTTTTCTCTGAGGTGGGGTGAATGGTTGTGCAGTGTTATGTCTCCTCTCTCACCAGATCAGAGAAATACATTCCAATATTCATTGCATTACATCACAATCATGATTCTAATCTACTACTTCCTGTTTTACAAAATGCAAACACCTGGACCATTATACCTGAGGGACTGAGAATTAAGATGGACATGACCTCTTTTTTTTTTTTCCTGACCGTTCTCTTTTGGGCTCTTTAAAAAAAAATGATGAAAATGTCGCTTTTTTGGTTTGGAAAATTAGGAATATTCCTAGATTGAGGTGGGTAGCCATGTTGGTCTGAAGCAATAGAACAATGTTTGAGTCTAGTGGCACCTTGAAGACCAACAAACTACACCAGTTTGATCTAGTGGTGGAGTGTGGACTCTAATCTGGGAGAACCGGGTTTGATTCCCCACTCCTCCACATGCAGCTGCTGGTGTGACCTTGGGTCAGTCACAAGTTCATTCAGAGCTGGTCTCTCACTACCAGTTCTTTCACAGGGTGTGTCTGTTGTGGGGAGGGGAAGGGAAAGGAGTTTGTAAACCACTCTGAGACTCCAAGTGAAGGGCGGGGTATAAATCCAGCCTCCTCCTCCTCCTCCTCGTATAAGCTTTTGTGTGCATGCACATAAAAGCTTATTCCCAGAATTAAAGGAATATTCCTAGTTAGTAGCAATTGTCACAGCTTAAGTAGTAAAAACGTAAAGGTTCCCTTGCTCGAAAGCCAGTCGAGTCCGACTCTAGGGTTGCGGTGCTCATCTCCGTTTCAAAGCCGAAGAGCCAGCGCTATCCGAAGACGTTTCCGTCGTCATGTGGCCGGCATGACTAAACACCAAGGCGCACGGAACGCTGTGACCTTCCCACCGAAGTGGTCCCTATTTATCTACTTGCAATTTCTTGCTTTCGGACTGCTCGGTTGGCAGGAGCTGGAACTAGAAATGGGAGCTCACTCCGTCATGCGGCGCCCGGGTCTCGAACTGCTGAACTGCTGACCTTTCACAGCCTGCAGTTCAGCGTCTTAACCACTTGAGCCACCGCAACTCAAGTATTTGTACCTATTTACCTATTTATCTACCTGCAATTTCTTGCTTTCGATTGGCAGGAGCTGGAACTAGAGACGGGTGGCAGTTTATTCCCATGGAAAAAGCGTCTGATGGTGGCGGGGTCGGGAGCGCGCCTTGGGAAGTCTTCCACGGGAGGCGCAACGCCGGCCTCCTGGCGGCCGCTCCGCAGCGCCGCAGCCCGGCCCGGGCCTGACTCCCTTGCGGGAAGGAAAGGAGGAGGAGCCAGCGGGTTGCCGCCAGGAGCGCCGCCGCCTCCTCCTCCTCCTCCTCCTCCTCCCGCGGCTGGAGCGAGTCCTTCCCGTGTCTCTGCCCGCCCGGCCCGGCGGCGGATCCTGGGCTCTCCAGGCGGTAGCCATGCGCTCCGTTGCGCGCCGGCTGCGCGGGCGGCGGCCGCATCCGGCGGCGTCGTGGGTGTTGCTGCTGCAGCTGGGCTTGCTGGCCGGGCGGAGAGCGGCGGGGGCCAGCGGCGGAGAGCTGGCCTTGGCGGCGGGTAAGGCAGAGGGGGGGCGCTCAGGGCCGCGCCAAGAGGGGGCGAGTGCGGAGGGCGCGCTGGCCGCGGCCTTGGAGAGCCTCTCTTCCCGCGTGCTTGGTTCGCCTGCATGCGTTTCTCCCCGGTGGGCTAGGGGCGCCAGCCTCCAGGTGGGGCCTGGGGAATCTCCCGGAATCACGGCTCGTCTCTAGACCACCGCGATCAGCTTCCCCTGGAGAGAAATGGATGCTTTGGAGGGTGGACTCTTATAGCATTGGACCCCGGCGCTGAGGTCCCTGCCCTCCCCGGCCTCTGTTCCCCAAATCTCCAGGAGTTTCCCAGCCTGGAGCTGGCAACCCTAAGCCCCACTTGTGTACGTCTGTCTGTCTGTCTGGGAGGCCAGCCTCCAGGTGGGACCTGGGGATGTCCCAGAATTACGGCTCATCTCCAGGCAACAGAGATCAGTTCCCCTGGAGAGAAGGGATTCTCTAAAGAGTGGACCCTCTGGCATTGGACCCCCACTGAGGTCCCCGTCCTCCCCAAGCTCCACCCCCAAATCCCCAGGAGTTTCCCAACCTGGACCTGGCAACCCCACCCCCCCCCCCCCCCACTGGTGTCCAGGGAGGACCTGGCAACCCTAAATTTGGGACCCGGAGTGGCTCCCATCATTCTCTTCTCCTCCATCTAATCCTCACAACAACCCTGGGAGGTAGGTTAGGCGGAGAGCGTGGGACTCGAACCCAGATCTCCCGGGTACTGCTCCCACACTCTGCAGCAGAGGCAGGGGAAGTGCCACAGTGGGGCCCCCGTGTACCTCTGCCCCTGCCGTCAAATACACTGACTTGGACTACTAACTCTAGTGGGGCTTGGATGTGTCAGAGAGGTGGATTGCGATTGCCTGCCTCTGCACTCTAGGCCTGGTATTCCTTGGAGGTCTCCCTTCCAAGAACTCGCCAGGGTCGGCCCTGCTTAGCTTCCAAGATCTGATGAGATCGGGCTGGGCTCGCCTGTCCAGCTTAGGGCACATTTTCCGATTTCTTAATTTGTTGTTCAGTCGCACAGTCGAGTCCGACTCTTCGCGACCCCATGGACCAGCTCCCGCCAGGCCCTCCTGTCTTCCGCTGTCCTCTGAAGTTGGCTCAATGTCATGTTCGTTGCATCGATGACACTGTCTAACCATCTCATCCTTTGCCGTTCCCATCTTGTTTTACTTTCCATCTTTCCCAGCATCAGGGTCTTCTCCAGTGAGTGCTCCCTTCTCATTGGGTGGCCAAAGTATTTGAGCTTCAGTTTCATTATCTGGCCTTCCAGGGAACAGTCAGGGTTGGTTTCTTTTAGGATTGACTGATCTGAACTTCTTGCAGTCCAAGGGACTCTCAAGAGTCTTCTCCAGCACCACAGTTCATAGATTTCTTAATACTCTTCCTTTTTCCTTTCTCTAGAGTCTCACTGTCGAAATTTGAAGGCGATGGATGTCTTGCGAATGTCGGAGTCGAACTGTTACTGCTACGTTCCGGACGGAGTGATCCATCTGAAAAACACGTGGTCGAGTATTCAGGTACGTTGGCTCGCGTGATGTTAGTGTGATGGGAGTTTTCCTCTGCGGAGCATTAAATAATCGAGGTGGAGAACATGAATAAAACAATCCAGATTCTTTCATTTTCTTTTATTCAGAAAAGAATGAAATAATCAAGATGAAGTAATCATTCAGAGCAGAGCTATACTTTTCTAAGCCTGTTGACTTCCCTGGACCTAGAAGGGTATAATCTTTGCGTATGGTGGCGGCGAATCAATGCATGCTCACTCGGGAAGAAGTCCTTTTGAAATCAGTGGGTTCTAAGCAAGCCGGGGACAGAATCGGGCTTTAAATACTATTTAGGTGGGGTTGGAAAATTGCTCTCGTGGGTTGGGACTTTGGGGGCGGTTCAGCCCCTCTCCGTGGAGTGGGCTTGCCCTCCTTTCGTAAGAAGGCAAAAAGGTAATTGGCTGCTCCGTGTTACATGCACTGTATATATATATATTTTCTTTCTTTCTTGTCCCTTCTACCCCACCTTTCTCCCCAGTGGGAAGGGGAGCAGCTTTCACTCTTCTCCTCCCCTCCATTTTATCTTCACAACACCCCTGTGGGGTAGGTCAGGCCAAGAGTCTGTGACTGGCCCAAAGTCACCCAGCAAGCTTCCATTGCACAAGTGGAGATTCGAACCCAGGTCTCCCAAATACTAATTAAACTGGCATGTGTTGCATGATGCTTTTCCTCCCTCACTTTTGCCAGTCTTATTTCTTTGACTCGTGGGCATCAAGGTGGCGTTTCCGATCCTTGAATCACGTCAAGGGCATCTTGTTTTGCAGGTGACCATCAATAGCACGGGCACATTCAGGGTGATGCCCGTCCCCGAAGAGAGTCACTGCCAGAGCGCAGAAACGCTGCTTGCCTTTTTCAAGTGCATCATTCGAAACATCTGGCAGTCGGGGGCGTCTAAGGAAACCGTCGTCACGGTGGCCCAGTACGGAGAGCAGACGTGCTTCCGGGTCCAACCAGAACACCAAGCACCTTACACCATGAACATTCAACAAACCAGTGAGTAGACGCGAAAAAGAGCTTGTGGGAGCGGAAAGATGTCTGCGGAACAGCGAGCATGGTCTTTAATGGTCGGACATTTTTATTTGTTCCAGTGTTGGATAAGAAACTTTTCCTCTCGTTCGTCGCTGGAGGCCTTCTTTTCCATTTTGCTCACAACCTAAGTAGGTAAGTGTGAGTTTCCTTTACTGCAGGGGTCCCCAACACTGTCCCCGTGGGCTCTAGGGTGCCTGCCGACAATGCTCCCTCTAAGCCGTGAATAACAAGCTAAGTTTATATGGTCACCATTTGTTTGAATTTAATTACAGAGGGAAAGGTGAAGCAAATATGTCAAGATAGGAGATTGATGCGTAACTGTATCCTTAATTGTGGAATGCCCAGAATAATTAACTGTGGCCATGTTGTCATGCTCCGTTTGTCTTCTCTCGAGCATGTTCCCAAATCGTATTTGAACCCGATTTGTATCCAGTCCGCTACAGAAGAGTATGAAAATAATTGCCAGAGGATGTAGTGATGGCCACAGGAGTGAATAGCTTTATCCATCCATGAATATAGCTAATCCCCTTTGAACGTTATTATTCCCGTGGCCACCACTACATCTTCTGGCAGCGAATTCCACATTTTAGTCACTCTCTGTGTAAAATAGTATTTCCTTTTGTCCTGAACCTACTGCCCGTATCAGTAGGTGCTTCAGTAAAGTGGTCTTTTTGCGTTTCGGCGTATTTGATGCGCGAAGCTTCTATACAAAAGGTTTAACAGCGTTGCTCTGATCTTTCTAAACAGAAGCGTCACGTTCTATTATTCTGCGGGAGTTGCGTTTGGTGTTCTCGCCACTTTGGTCTTCCTCCTTTTGATGCTTAAAAGGTTTATTCCCAAGGTAAGCGTTCCAGGGCTAATGTTCAAACAAGGCAGATTATCTCAATCTTCCAGTATTAATTGCCCTTTTAGTCAGGCTTCCCGTATTAATTGAGCTTTGACTCATGTTGGACTCTGGAAGACAATGTGTCTAACACTTTCCGTCCCTTTCGTGTATCTAACATGTCAGTCCCTTGTTTACGTGGTCCGTTCTTCCGAGATAACTTTTTCTGGGATAACCTTTTCCTACATTCTGAGCTCTTTTTTGTCTCCATACTGAGGGGATGATTACAAGGCAGGAGTTAACTGTAAGCAGAGGAAAGAGCCCCTGGATAATTTGGGGCGCTGGACAGGTCCGTTTTGTGAAGAAATGGGTAGAGATCCAAATTCCATATAAATACATGTACTCTCAGAGTAATGGTTCTAGAAGATATCAAAACCTGGTTGGATTGAAGCAATACTCTAGATTGAGACCCAGTGTGGTGTAGTGGTTAAGGGTGTTGGGCCAGTATCTTGGAGACCTGGGTTCGAATTCCCACTCGTGCCAGGCAAGCTTCCTGGGTGACCTTGGGCCGGTCACCGTGTCTCAGCCTAACAGACATCACAGGGTTGTTGTGAGGATGAAATGGAGGAGAGGAGACTGATGTGAGCTTTGGGTCCCCCTTTGTGGAGAGAGAAAGGATGCAAATTAATTAAATATTTCAAAATTTGCCTTTTCTGCTAGTTGCAGCTTGTTCTGTATGGCTACTTAGCAGTGGTGGCTCCAGTACTTGAGGTGACCCCCAGTAATAAGGCAGAAGATACTAAACACCTTGGGATCCCTTACCTGTGCAATCACAGAATCAAGATAATACCCCCTGGATCACTGATGTAATCGTCTCTTCATCAACACAATATCCTCAATCTCTGTGCCAGTTGCATACTGGAGAGTATAAATCACAACTCTTTTTTTTTTTAGAATAACATAATTTTTAATTTATTTGTTTATTTTTAGTTCGTTTACCTTTCTCCCTAAGCCTGTGGGGTAGCTCAGGTTGAGAGCATGTGACTGGCCCAAGGTCACCCAGCAAGCTTCCCAGGCAGAGTGGGGATCCGAACCTGGGTCTCCCAGATCGTAACCTGATGCTCTAACCACCACACTGGCCCTTTAAAATAATACAACACAGTATTGATGTTCTGAAGATTTTATTCTGCACTTACGCTAAACCAAGGGTGGTGAATATGACCCCCTGGACTGAACGTGTCCCCCAAGCTGTGTTCCCTCTAAGCTGAGTTAGTGTGAGCTAGCTCACAGGTTTTTTAGCCTCCAGCTTACAGATTTTTGTCTCAGCTCAGGAAGGGATAGCTCCAGAGCAAACGAATGTATGCAGCAGCCAAATCGTTCGCTCAGAACTTTAATGCCAGTTGCTCACAAAGTAGAATTTTTGCTCACAAGACTCCACAGGTTAGAGGGAGCATTGCCCCCAAGTCGATGTTCTCTGACGTAATGACCTGGTGAGGATCCTCGTTGTGTGGTCGAATGCATATCTGGTCCAGAGACCAGTGACAGAAGAGCAGAAGAACCCTTAATGAAGGCAGTAGGTTCAGGACAGATGAGAAGAAATATGGCTTGACACAGAGAGGGATTAAAATGTGGACTTTGCTGCCGGAGGTTGTCGTGATGGCCAGTGGTGACTAGCCACGGTGGCCAAGGGGAAGCTCCACATTCAGAGGCACTGAGCCTCTGAATCCCAGAGCCAGGAATCAACATCAGGGGAAGGCCTCGGCCTCTGTGCCCTGTTGTCAGCCCTCCAGAGGAACCGGTTGGCCACTGTGTGAGACAGGAGGCTGGACTAGATGGACCCTCACTGGTCTGACCGAGCAGGGCTCTTCTGAGGTTCTTATCAGGGGAAGGCCTCTGTGCCCTGTCGTTGGCCCTGCAGAGGAACTGGTTGGCCACTGTGTGAGACGGGATGCTGGACTAGATGGACTCTCATTGGTCTGACCCAGCAGGGCTCTTCC